CTCTCTCTCTCTCTCTCTCTCTCTCTCTCTCTCTCTCTCTCTCTCTCTCTCTCTCTCTCTCTCTCTCTCTCTCTCTCTCTCGTGTGCACTGTCAATGCACGTGCCTGCTTTCGAGCACGGGCACTATGCCCTCTTTCTCTCTCACATGCGCACACAAACATGTAACGTTCGAATGCATGCCGGATCGTGACCATGCAGCGCAGTCAATGTGTTCTTAAAAAAGAAGAAACTTCATGCTGCAGCCCTATTTAATATGTACTATATACTTTTCTTTTCTTCCCCTTGTCTAGGAAAGTTGCATCCTATTTGAATACAAGGTACACGGTAGTGCGGTGGGCAGGTACAAGCGCGGAAAGGTACTGGCAGTTAAGGGTGCTTTGTCTTTTCCTGGGGGCTTGCGCTTGGGAGTCTGTGATACAGGGCTATCGACTTTTCCTGAACATAATCATGCACCCTGATTCAGTCTTAAGGGTGTTTACAAGCCATCTTCCCGGGTGGATGCAGTCGTAATAAGGGTGTGCGTTGTGTTCGGGGCAAGATGGTGAAGGATGCGGTAGCTGCTGTTGGGTAGAGGTGTCCGAGTTTGTTTTCTTGGGGTGAGAATTGAGGCAGACCAGCCAGATTAGAATATTATTCTGAACTAACTCGAATGCATTCCGCTGTACACCGACTCACCGGTGCTTTAGTTCCGGTGATTTTGGGTTGCAGTTGGGGAAACTACTTAAGAAAGCTATGTTAGGAGGTGCAAAATGAATTGGAGTGGGCTGTGCAACAATCCCTGGGGCCGGTCAGTTCATCGATGATATGATTCAGTTTGATATCTCAAAGCTGTCACCCTCTGTTTGAAAATAAAATGACAAAAAAAATTGCAGTCGGTGGCTTTCTAAGATGTGGTAGCTGGTAACAGCAGCAGCACAAACAACCAAGATTGCAACTTGAAGGCGGCTTAAAACTCCCATCCGCATCTTATAAAAGTTATGGGTGTACTGACTGAGCTAGGTATGTCGGTCAATGGAACTGTACATTGCAGGTGCAGGGCAAACAGGGCGAACCACTGCACATCTGATGGTGTGGAATGACGACTACTATTCTGTTTTGGCGCGCACATTCGGAAGGTCCAAAGCAATGATGGTTGCAGACAGCCATGTCAAGGCCATCGATTTCGTTGAGAGGGTCATCGACGAGGAGAGAATTAAATGCGACTTCCGGAGGGTTGATGGTTTCCTCTTTCCCGCCGACGACAAGGTTAGCTCGATGCAGAAGCTGAGGAAGGAGTATGAGGCCTGCCAGGCGCTTGGGCTGAAGAACACAGAGATCGTCGATCTGGGACAGCAGCCAGAAGTGGGACAGATCGGTACCTGCTTGAAGTTCCCGGGATGTGCCGATTTCCATCCGCTAAGGTATTTATCCAAGGCCACGACCCTTTTTTGAAGTTTTCTGTTGAAACGGGTGCAGTGACCTGTTAGCAGAAGAGGTAGGGGAGGAGGTTTAGCACGAGATTTTGTCTTTTTTCCCATGAATCAGAGCAGTTCTTAACTTTTTGTTAAAAAAAAAAAGAAAAAAAAGGGGTGGGATTACCATATCGCATAATGATTACAGTCTCAGAACTGTGGCAGAGGTGAACGATGTGGTTTTTTTTTTTTTTTTTTTTTTTTTTCACAATCAAATTTCGTAGGATTATGAATGTGTCTGTGCGCAGGGAAATAAGTTTTAGATCTATGACACAGTTTGTTCCCTAGGAACCGGAGGGGGGGAGGGGGGGCGGAGGAGGTGGGGTGGAGGGGGGGAGAGTAGTCGCTGACACAGTAGTAGAAAGACTGAAACTGAATAATATGGTAGTGTATGGGATTTAAGGCCTTGCCCCACTACGCAGCACTCTGCCATGCATTTGGACACTTTCTGGACCAGAAAGTGTCCAAATGCATGGCAGAGTGCTG